TGTTCCTGACCTCCAATCAATCTCATGGCTTCATTCAATTTCATGTACAAGAAACTTTCTAACGAGTAGAGATAAGCACAACGTTTCCACACTTCTTCCATTCCTTTATCTTTCTGTTCTCTGAGTTGGTTAGCCAATTCTTCTGCTTCAACTAGTTTACCTATTTGTTTGCCTTCTTCAATAATACCTTGAGCAGCTTTTTCCACAAGTATCGGGACCAGCTTTTCGTCTTTAGAAGGCAGCTGGTTTTTTTTAAGGCCCAAATATCTTCTCACTTCAATTATGAAGGGCGAAACCCAGCCATATTGACCACCAAAAGGACGTTTCGGAGCAATCGGATCGATCATAAAACGTTCCTCTCGTAAATGCTTATCTTCCCTGTTGCGCACCATTTGTTTGACAGGTCTCTGCTTATATCCATCGTTCTTGGATATTTGAACTCTTTGTTGAAAATCGATGCAGTAGGCATCTAAGATGACTTGAGGTTGTTTCTTTAAGAACGCTCTTTCAATAATTATATTTTCAACATCCGAATAATGACTATATTCAGCTGGCTCGGACGGCGAGAATGGATTTCGATTTGATTGCCACATCCACTCAATATGTTTTGAAGAGTCGAAAGTCGCAGGTTGAACTTTAGCCATTATTATCACTTTGTCTTCTTTTAGATACTACAAGTTTAGTAGGAATCGCTTGCTCTCCTTTAATCTGAAAACATTTAATAATTATAGAATGATATGTTACATAACATGTAATTTAAGTTTCTTTGTTAGTTAACGAAAAGAAATTTTTCCTTTGTTTGAAAACACAGAATAATTACGTTCGTTAAAATGTATAGCAGTGAAGACCGTAGTTGAGATATATCAAAATCGTCATTTCCTACATGAAGCTTTTTTCGATCAAAGACTTTTCTAAAATAACGAGTCCATAGCCTTTTGGAGAATTAACTTGAGAATCAATTAACATGATTGATTTACAACAAACAAAACAACTTCCAAAGTCTCAATCAACTACTTATTGATGTTTGATGAAAACAGTCTCTCTCGTATCCGATTGCCGATATCTGCATTTTAATTCTCGTTTACTAGAATTGTTGTTATAAATGAGACTTTTATTTATTTTGACTACGATTATTTTCTCTAGTCCATCTTCAAGAATTAATCTTTTGCTCAGAATACATACATCTAGACACTAGGGATGAAGTAAAAACGTACAGATTATACTTCGCATTGTCAAAAGTTAGAAATCAAACAAAACGCTCCTACAAATTCGAGAATGATAGTACATGGTGAGAAACTCTGTCAGAACTATTCTGGACTCATTGAATACTATAAAAAGATATCCATCTAATTTAAAATGACGTGTAACATTCTGTGACCTTCTCTCGTGAGTGAAAAGCGTAGCATGGGTGTGACTGTGGATCCCCAAAGAATATTCATGCACCCACAACCACACCCATTCGATACATACATTTCAGTTGTGTGTTGCCTCCATTAAGATAAGTTTCCTCGGTCGTTGATCACTGAATTAAATAATAATGGAGATTAGTCATATATTTGTCGAAATGTTTTCTAATCAGTATTTTGATAATTCATCAGCTTCAGTCTTCAAGATCTTCTCAACAAGTTTCTTATCAAAACTGCCTAATCAATATTAGGAATACCGAGTAATTTTCAGTTTTGGAGAATTCTACCTTTCGTTGACTGTTGTGATTGTCAGGATGGTGTGTTGTTTCTTGAATGATTTTACTTTTATTTTTGTATTATGGCAACATTCTGCACTACACTTCTATTTCTTATTGCTTCATGTTCTTCTTGTTTTTTTCTGTTTTCAATTCTTCTCAACTGAGCATTCGATCGAAAGCGATTGCAAATAACAATAATAAAACATTCAAGGTAAGGAATAGAGAACGATTGATTATAAACACGTTGAAAAATATTCTTTTTTAAAAAGAAATACAGTTTGCATGGGTATGTGAGTGTGACTTTACATGTGTGAGCATGGTTGAAAAGAAAGAGTATGTCCATATCCATACGCTCAAGACTAAAGTATGGTCTTGTGAAGTTGTAATTGGTTGAATTAGAGCATTTGAGTGTCAGTTGATTGACAATCTAGGTTATGGATGTGGGTGTGATCTTTAATAAAGTTCACAGCTACAGTCACTCCCCACGCCCATAACGACACCCGCACACCGTCACCCACACTCTACTCTAAGTAACAAACTAGCGTTTTCTTTCTATCCAAAACGAACTTCGAAAATGATTCGAGAAGATAATCAATCCGATTAAGATCACGGATGAAATTAAAATTGAACATAATGAAATTTATCAGCAATATTCCGTATTGTTCCCCATTGGCAATATTAACATGAGTATTTCCACTTAGAATTAAATGTCGTAAATAAGACAATTCCGACAGAAACAATTCTATATCGTTTATAGATAGAACTAGAATAGATCATCAATATAAAATATTCAGTAAACAATCATATCTTACTATTCTCATGAGGGTTGTACTGATTGTCCATCTTCAAAGACAGTCGAGTAAATCATGGCAATATTGATAAAGACCGAATATTTTTCACCAGATAGTCTTAAGATGAATGTCAAGTGATTCGAGTTGTGAAGATTTAGAAAAAAATTGTCTCGAGATGGTGAGAAGAACATTTTGCCATAGACAAGTCTCGAAGACGAACAAATGATATGATTCTCAAGCAATAATAACTTGTAAAATTCGTCATAGTATCGTTTCGTACATATAAATGATCAGAATATTGACCCAGCACAAATGAAAGTGATTTCAAATGTTCGAATTTGTGTAAATTTGAAATAATATGTTCTATCCAATCAGTTCTAACATCAGACAATGTTAGCGATTGTAGACGAATAAATTCTTCGATTTGAAAACGACTAAGAAAAAGTTTCGTTTGACAAGGTGTAGTGTCATTGTCAGAGATAGTGTAAGACAAATCACTTGATTGACTTGAATTCAATGATAGGAAATCAGATCGAAATGACACTTGAGAATGTCAATGAAGTCAATACGATATCCAGATATGAACTGACTTCCGAAAAACTAAGAAGAATCTCATGTGCTAATAAATAATTAAAGATTGTATAGATTAGTTCAATGGAAAATGCATCAGGGAAACAATGAGAGCCATGAATTTATTATTGTAAACAGCAAAAAAAAATGTTTAAAAAACATACTTGCATGAATGAAAGTGGTGGTTGATAAACACACTTCTCTTCGTTCTGTTACCTCGTGCATTGATAACAAGTCAATACAATTGTGTGTTTGTCAGTGCATTAGACAAAATTTGTGTCAATATAAATTGTGGCGTCATTTGTCATTTAACATTGATCTTTCAATTTTATTTCAAAAAGATATTTTGTAGTTGAATGTGAATTTATTCGTCACTATGTTAATGCAATTCATTTCTTCACAAAGAACCTTCTCATACACTCACACATTCTAATGGTCATATCCTGTTTCCAATCCTCAGAAACAGTGTACTGTATGAATTACATTTCTTAAAGATAATAAGATGTTTTCTTTTTTACTATTCACTTTTATCGTAGTTTGATTCTAGCAACAAAATTTTACCAGGATTTTTACGTAATGGACCAATAAAATTTGTTGATATCATTATTATCGTGATCAAACAACGTCTGTTAGTATATATGCTCAGATTTCTCTCATGTTATTCTTGTTTTCGTAATTTACTTCGAAGAACTTGAAGATAAAAAAAAAGACATCATAGAATATTTCTCACATTTTAAACTGTTGTATTCGACTACTGAGTAGTCATGGTCAATAGACTCTCAATATACATTAGCGCTTACACAACTACATCACATAAGAACATGCACTAGATGATTCACATCTATTGAAAAATGATGACAATCTAGAGGTGAAGTAAGGAAAGTCGGATCTTATTTGATTACTCTTCTACGATGATGTTTTCTATTAGGATAATTTTCATAAGTCTAGAAATGACCGTCTCGGTTACCTTTGCTCGTATTAAATAAGAAAAAAATCTAATAAAAAAAAAAACATAAATCTTTTCGCTTTTAATTACTTGATTTCTTATCGTTGATACTCTCTGTCTTTCTTCATTGCTCTTCTTTTGCCATCGTACCTTCAGTATTATTTTTTGATTTATTTCTACTATTTTTCTTTCTTCTTCCTTTGTACGCTGTTGATCTTATCGCAGTAAGCTTAGCGTTTCGTTTTCCTCGATTTGTAATATTGTGTATGCACTTTCGAATGTAACAATAAAACAATTCTATTTTAAAAAAACTATGTAGCCAAATCAGTTGTAATATTTCCTTTTGATTTTAATGTAAGTTTCTCAAAATTCTCTTTCCTTCCAAATGAATATCTTTTTGCATCGATCAAGAAACTCAATTAAAAACGATCGAACAATAGTTGGTGCTACTGTTTATTGATTTAGGCGAAAGTAAATGCGATAAAATATGTCTTTTGTATGTGAAGAGATTTTTGTGGACGCATAAAAGAATAAATTGAGACAATTCGTAAATCTATTAGGTTCTTATCGTTGTTTGCATGTATGACAGAATGTTAAATGACACTACTGATAATCACTTTCGTCGATTCTCCATGGATAAGAAGTGAGTAATGTGAATGTATTTAGGTAAATATCAGAATCAATAGATTTACATATAAATATATACTCGAAAAACGTCCAAAAAAGTAGTATAGACTTCAATCTGTCTGCAGTATTTTACGTGACACACAATTCATTGAATCAAATAGATTCTTTTGGTATTATTCTTTGGCGTTGATCAATCTCCTACTTAAAAGAAATGAAGTTCGTCATTCTATGCTTTCTATGGACTCTCAGCATCACATGTAAGTCATCAAAATGACACAAGTGTAAAGCAACATTTTTTTACCCTAAAAAAGAAGAGGAAGTATATTTTCAATGATCTTGGCTTACAAGTTCACTTGAATCACTTTTTTTCCATCTTGAGTATTTCTCTTGGCTGTCAGAAATAAATGCTGATCACTGCAAGCCACAATAACTAGCATTTTTGTATCTCTGTCTTTTTTTTCAATTTTGAAATGCAATAGTTAAAAGTACTCCTCAATCCGTTGTCAGTTTTATCATTGACAATGGAATGTGACCTTTTATTTTCGATCTTCATCTGTTATTCAAATAGATCAACGGAAAAAAACAAGACGATCACAAAGTTCCCATTAAGAATAAACATTTTAGTGTAATTACGCAAGTCAAAATAATAAACATATATAATATTGTAAAAGACAGTCAAGTTTACTTTTTGTTATGTTTCTATTGCAGCATCTGAACAGATTACCACTTATGCACGCCCTATAAATCATATTGGTTATTCCGTAACCGACATTGATGCTGTATTGGGTTGGTATCGTGAAGTGCTTGGCTTCACTGTATTAGCCGCTCCAGTCGATATTATTGTTGACAATTCAACCGATATGGGAATTCTTCTCTCGCAGATGTATCCACCTGAGATGAAGCGTGTCAAAATGGCTCACATGACTGCAGGCAATGGAGTCGGTCTTGAACTTTTTCAATTTATTGATCCACCCACACAACGTCCGAATATAGCCAGTTTTGAATATACTCGTGCTGGCCTTTTTCACATTTGTGTGACAGATCCTGAACCTGAAAATTTGGTTCGTAGGATTGTAGCAACCGGTGGCAAGCAGCTTAGTCCTGTACTAACTGTATTTCCTAGACAAATCTATCAGGCAGTCTACTCTCTCGATCCATTTGGAAATCTTGTTGAGATCATGGCTACTTCCTACGAACGCCAGATGAGTAATCGAGATCTAAATGTAACGAGTCAAGGTGGTGGCAGTCTCACGTCAACATCTCGTTCATCGAAATCACAACAATTAGTTTCAATCGGTTTTCACATTTATCTTTTGATTTTTATTTTCTTTTTATGCGGTCCTAAATAATGTATAAAGTTAGAACCGAAGATTTTTTAATTTCGAAAATAGCATCTCAAATATTTAAACCTTTCTTGTTTTTTATTATTGTAATGAAGAGTTCATGAGTGGAAACATGTTTAACCCTCAAGTTTCAGTTTATAATATTTAAGCTTCAAACATAATTGATATTCACATTATACATGCCTTGCATGACATTGAAAACATGCCATATACATAATCCTCGACACGTATTGAGTCATTTCTTATGACATGAATGCGATTTTGAACAATAGGTAACGCATAAACAAATTATGTCTACTATTTAATAGGTAGGACCTAAGGATATTGGTGTGTAAGTGTGCGGATATGAGAGTCTTCTCTTTACCTGCGATTACCCTTATCCATTCAGTCTTCGTACAAAGTTACTTCAAACACTGGGAAGAGTGCTTCGCTTAATTTACATCAAAGATTTCTTCGTCTGTTTATATTGTTCGTCATCAAATGTCTATAAAACATTGTACCTTAAGACTATCCCCTACCCTTTCCAAGGTCTCTGGAGAACGGTTCATCAGAAAAATTTAAAACTTTCAGAGTAGGTAGATCTTGAAGAGTAGAGCAAAAGTTGTGCTAGACTCAAAGTTCCCAAATGCTGTCTTCTATGAGATATTGGGCTCATAATCTGTCGAAGTGACCCAACTTTTCGCTTCCGTTTCTCCGGGATGCTACGTTCGATCGAGCCGAAACTGGTTTTTACAGATACTAGACGCTGTTTGTGGTGGATATTGTTTTTTTTTGTTTCTCTTTATCTTTTGTCTTTAAAATAAAAAGTTGAAATACTGGAGGCACATTTTTTTGAATAGTGCTTTTTTATAAGAGCTACCAAAAATCAACAGAATGATATTTTTTGAAACAAAAAAAAAAACAACCTACCCAAACAGTGTCTAGTTTCAGCTCGATCAGAGTTATTGCGCCAAAGAAACAGGGAGCGTTTATGCACTTTGTTTCATGAAAAAATTGTTTTGAGAAAGACACTAAATAAATCACAGTTTTCACTATTTTTGTTATGTAAATTTGATTTCTTCTCTAATATTTTGTAGTTTAAAGATAATATTCGACTTCCAAAATATAATCAGTATATATAGATACTATTTAAGACTATACGATGGCTGTGTTCGAAAGAAAATACTGATGAGTCAAAAATTTTCGAAGTAATCACATATATATTGCGTTTGGATAAGGTGAAAGAATATATAAGGAGACAGAAGTAGCCATCTTGATAGATAATTGTTAGATTCGGACTTCAGGATAAATGACTAGATATTTAGAAAGGTAGTTAGTAATTATCCGATTGAAGTTCTTTTGAACATTCTATCATATTGATAAGCAACTATATATATGTTTGTGGAATGCTATTGTCAGTGACAGATATTTCGATATGTTTGTGTCTCTAGTCTTCACTGACCATGATTGACGTACCTAGGGCTCTTGTTTACCAGTAAAGTTGATTCATCGTATTTCACATTTCAATCCAATAGGGATAATGGTGAAACATTTTTTATGAAAAGAGATTTTTTTTTCTGTTACGTCGAATCGCTACCAATCCTGCTCTTAAAAAGTTGATTATGAATATGTTAATATGAGTAAAATTGACAAGGAACTCAAATGTACAATATGTAAGTAACCAGTTCAATTGCCTATCATTCTTTTAATATGTCATCATATATTTTTTTTCAAAAAATGTATTGTAAAATGACTTGCAATTTATGATGTACAATAATCATAATCATCTATACTTGCGCAGTTCGCTAAACACAGCTTGATTCACTTTAAGTTCATTCTAGAATATCTACAAATGAATTTCTGCAAAGCTTTTTATCTATAATATAGATTTAGATATTGCTTCGCTCTATTATTCGTGATGATTCAAATATGCATAGAAAATTTTATATTTATATTCTATTTAGTACTAACACTTAGGCGACATGATCATTAATGCTTCTGGACATGTTTGAATCAATTTCGAACGCATTTGACACGATAGAATCGATAGATGCACGCCCATGGGTCGTTCATAGTAAACCGTTTCGACGGCAAATGTTTTCGCCACAGCTACTGGAGCTATTTTTGCATTAACACGATGTAAATTCACTGCATACCAAACATCTTCAGGTACTTTGCGATGGTATGAGACGAGCGCAAGTAGAGCAAGTATTTTGCTACGACTACGTAATGAGAATCCACCATTGCCGACAAGATTTGTCTTACTATACTTAAACCATGATGGATCCCATGGTGCACCGATGTAATCATAGGATAGATAGTCTGTGATTTTGTGAGGTGAGTTAGAACACATGATTGAATCGATTTGAAAGAACAATACTTTTTCACCAAGAACTTGTGTCCAAAATTTTGGATCTGTCAATAGTTCGCTCGTTCGATCTTTCGTATATGGCTGCATTAAAGTCAAAATAATTTTGCCAGAATCAATCAATGGAGCTAGTGTAGAATTAATGATAAAATTTCGGTTTGCTTCACCGTGAAAGATCTGAATAGGCCACATCGATGGAATATGATAATTTACATTATGTACGACACTGATCATTCGATCTGTCGAACGAAATTCAACAAGTACAGCAATATGAGGGAAAATATGGGCTGGAGAAGAATAATTGGATTGTATAATGATAAGTTCATTTTTGTATGACGTATATATGTTGAACAAGCCAATGACAAAAGTAATGGCGAGTATGAATGAAATGAAAATTATAATTATTTTTCGGACATGTTGCCTAAACATTGCTATCGATTGAGTTATTATAAAAGCGTAAAACACCGAGGACGGTTATATTTGTTTGCAGCAGTTCGAACTACTTTTCATTTTTTTTTCATGCGACTACTACCATTGAGATCTTTGACCTTAATTTTAATGACAACAAGACTCCTCGCATTGAAAATTACTTTTTGACTTACCAGTAGATATCGCAACTTTGTTGGATGAAGTTTGTAACATGATGAGATACGAACTGCAACACTCTTTTCACTTTATACTTGAAGATGACTTATCAAGAATGATAACAAAAAGGAGTGCAGTTGATATGTGAAAGAAAAACGATGTGCACATGCTTATTCGTATAGATAAGGAGCAGGTAGAGAGAATAGAAACTAAGTACAGATCATCAAAGTTGTATCTTACAATATTTAGTCAATAATATTTCCATACATGTTTAACGATTACTGATATGTGAATAGATGAGCCAAGTTTTGACAGAAATAATGTGGCTTGAACGAAGCGAAGTACGAAAATAATCCACCTAAAACTTTTACAATTTATAATTTCTTCTACAACGATGAAAAATTTTGCTGCGAGAAAACAGTGTGGGTATGATATAAGCGTTTAGATTTGGTCGGTGTGAATTTCCTCTTCGACCAATAATATCTTCAAACTCATAGCCAAACTTACATTCGTATCCTTCATTTTTATCGATTCATCATGAACTTTAGTTACTTTCAGATAACAATATGAAGCTCTTCGATTTGCATATCATTTTCTTTTCTATCTTGTTTTTTTTGTATTCTAATTCATCAAAAACAGTACGATGGCATGGATCTAGAACAAAAGAGTTACATGTGGTCTCTTTTTTATTTATCATGATGTGTAATTTTTTAGTTCTTTAATAATAATAAATATCGTAGTATACTTGATCTAAGAGATGAACGTTGCTTTTGGTTGATATTATACAAGACAATATCCGTTTTTTTTATCTACAGAATTCATAAGTGAGAATAACTATTTTTCCATTATTCTTTTTCTTGTCCAACATTATATACTGAACGTTCTCTAACTTTTCATTTGTGTTTCTATAGTCTCGAAAATATTATTTAGTCACAGACATCAGTTTATCAGCTAGTATTATTAACACATGCATGAACCACATGATCATTCATTTTCTGTTCTATTCTGAACAAAGTTATACTACAGTAATGAGTAGCCACTTATCTGTTGATGATCGTTGGCATATTATTTTTCGATGTTAGACTTAATATACGTCACATAGCTCGTTTTATTCACTGTGCTATGTAAATAATTTATGATATACTTCGTTTATTTCAAGAAAGCGTGTGTGTGTGAGTGTGGCTTCGGGCAAAGACAAAAAGGTCACTTGCACCTACACACACACTACAGAGAACGCTTGTCAAGTAGTTTGATATTTTCTTCTATGTCAAATAAAAAACGATACATTTCTGTTTCGCTTGATTGTGTCATTTTTATTTAATACTTCCTGAATTGTTTCAATATTAGATCCTTTTTAAAACGCCGAAGACATCAAAATACATGCCAACCTCTAATACGGAGGTTTCACTGTGTTTATGCATTTGATTCTTTTCTGTATAGTCACAAGTGTTCAATGTTCGGTTGATAAGAAGCTGACGTGAAAACAATACTGATGCTATCAATAACTCACGGTCGCCTCCTACACATGAAAAACAATAATTGAATCTTTTTATAGTTGAAGATTTCAGCCGACAGGTAGCAATCAAACTGTCTATTAGTTGAACAAAGAGAACATTTATGAGAAAAATACATTGTGCATTGCGTACATGATATCATTCGATTACTGATCTTCTTATTCCTTTGGACTGTATGAAAATGAATTTTTTTTTCATTAAAATAGAATAAGTACGTTTTGAAAGTGTAAGAGCGACATCGAATTGGGTTTGGGTATGAATATGAAAGGAATGTGTTTGTGCATATCATTGTGAGTAGGAACCGGGGAAGATAAGATTCAGACACCTAACCCTACACCACACATGCCATCCATACCCCCACAGCCAGGTTAAATCGCTCGACAAGGTCTTTGAGCAAGGACAAAATCGGTTAGAGTAGCTCTATACACACCAACAGCCACACTCGCACCTACACTACTTACACACACATCCTCATCATTTGTTGCGAAAGTGGAAGCAAGTTGTTCAGAATAGTAATTTCAAAGAAAGAGAGAGACATGACTCTTTCGATCAAAGAAACTACTACTTGCAAACGCGTTTCGAGTCCATGTGAAGAAGCGTCCTAGCGTAACTGAGCTCAGTCTTCTTTTCATTCATTTGTTGGTCGAAACCAATCCCATGGTGAAACACGAGCGGCAGTGAGTTTCTTTTTATGAAAGTCTTTGAAGGTATGGACGGTGCTATTCGTCAGTTTTGGAAAAGAGACAAATCCAGAATCATGTTGGTTTTCTACTGTACCAATGAGCATCCTTGGATGAACCTGCTTTTGTCTTACAGTCTCGACCATATTTGATGATGGCGATCTCGATGATGAATATACATATTTTTGAGTTTCATTAGGTTTTTCAAGGCCAACTGTCATACAATCCGACAGAAAATATAACCATTCAGCAGTGCAAGTTATCAACTTCTGCGCGTATATGTATTGAATCCACTGCATGGGAATTCGATTATAACCATAATAGGCGCCTGCAAGTTGACCATAGATAGTTGCTATGTTTTTCATATCATGATTCAGATTGATGGCATCGAGTATGCCTTTTTGAAAAGAATTATTATCAGTCCAGAAAATCCACAAGACTGCTTCGAGCATCTGAATAATATCACTCGTAGAACGAACGACAATTTTAGGATTACTTCGTTGTTTATACGATCCTAGAACTACAGTACGCACGTTTGGGTGAAGATCTTTCCAATCGAACCAATCTCGATGATCATCATAAAATCGATGACTAAGTAATGCTTCTTTAGATTCACCGCGAACAGCAGCCGTAATCAGTGCTCCAAAATATTTACAGACATCAATTATTCTATCATCACCATGTGTAAGACGTGCCGATAATCCTGAAAGTTCAACAGCGACTGCCGGTGTTCGATAATAGAGAAGTGGTATAGGAGCAAGACGTGCAAGTGCTGCACTTCCATTGACGCCTTGTCGACTACAGTTTACATTAAATCCTACTGATCGATAAACTGCATCGATCGGTAAACTGTCGAGTTTATCCTCTGTAAGATAACCATAAAATCTATTCAAATCAGTCTGACGACGACAAAATTCTTCGAGCGAATCACGCATAACATTGTCAATATCGAGACAGTATCCTGTCGATGACAAATATCCATATTTATACCACCATTTATAGCGAACTAGCTGATCATACGGATTAAAAGTACGTTGAGTGATCAGAGAAGAAGCAAGACAGAGTGCCATAGATGTATTACCGGTCCATTGGCCTATTTGCAGATTGAATTTTCTTCCAGATTTTTTGCCATAAGTTAGATCGTCGATATGCTCAGTACTGGCCTCTTGTACATCGCCTGCTACTAGACCAACAAGAGATCCTTTAATACGATCAAGAATTGTATAGTGGATACGGTCGAAATATGGTGATTTGCATTCAATATTTCCCGGAAGTGTCTTGCTTGAAGGAGCTGGAAAATGGAACATAGTAAGATGGCAATAAGTTCACACTGGAGAAAGCATACAGATTGATTCAAAGCAGTTGAAGTAAGCTGATACTTTGATTGCAAGTAATACCTTAGCTTATGATCAGCTTTCTTCGGCAATACTAATAATTTAGTTTTAGATTGATATGCTAATCGATCGTCTGAAAGATAAAGAGGTCATATAGATGGAAAGTCATTCGAAGCTTTTACTGTTAAGCGTAAAAAGAACTATTCTATTCTCTGTAGTACAAAATCTACTTTTGAATTCTCGTCAATTGTTCTTGTGTTCTGGTACAAAGAAACTAGAGTGCACAGTTCATTTAGAATTAGCTCCTTTTCGGGTACTTTTTTGGATAATGTGTAAATTTCAAATATGAATCTAGTGCACAATCGTGTCTTCCATTTTGACTGCTACAAATTACTATATATCTGTGAATAAATCGATTTTGATGTGAACGATCAATTGACAGTTTGAAATGATTGTAGGTCTCTGCTGAGAGAAAAGAGTTTTTACTGATGTCGACTACACTGATTAGAAAAGTCAGTGAACGAAACTCGATCTGATCGGCATTTAGATAGTGTATCTTCCTTGAGATAGATACGAGTAAGAAGCATGACAGTTCTAGCAGAAAAGATCTACAGAATAGAATTACGTTTCTACACAAAAATACAACGCAATCGTTATTTATGTACTTTGATTTTAGATAAAACCTGTAAAAATATCAAATCAACTAAGATCAAAATCCGATCAATCACTATACAATCAGATGTTAGATAATAACTTCAAATCAATCATTTTACCTATTACTTTTGACGACTGTTTTTTTTTACAACCAACATCGATTAAATGCAACTGTAAACAGTAAGTGAAGAGAAAAGAAAGCCGAAGCCATTTCAATCCACTTCTAATGGATCATGAAAAAATGATGTTATTATTTGCAAATCGTTATCGTAAGGAATACAGCAAGCTTTCATCCAAACATGTTCTCCCTAGTGATGGAAAGAAATTCGACTATTCAAAACACACATACACTTTATTCTTACCGAACAACAAGACTTACTGCTCATTAATGTTGCTTTTTTCTACTGCTGGCATAGCTGTTTACGGTAGAATGAGAGAGAGAGAGAGAGAGAACTCATCGAAAAAAGAAAAATATCCATTCAAGCAAAGAAGCCACCGAATCACTGCATCGTCGATTGAGTAAGATGCAGAGATTATGTATTATTCTCTTAGCTTACTTTGCAATGCTATGGACAGAAGATCATACGATTGAAAGTGAATAAAATACATGTTTCTCGAGGGTGTGGCTGTGCATATTATAGAATGAGTTCCAGTGTATCTACCGACATTCACACTCGTGAAATTCATTATATGGCCTTGAGCATTTTTTGCATGATATCTAACCTAAAAGAATCAAATCTAATCTTTTGAAAATTGAGCACGAATGCAGATCGATTCTTTATTCACTATTCACATAAAAATTCATGTAAATTTAAGGATTTAACAAAAAAAAAATGTTCCATGACGGAGATTTTCACGGTTAAATAGATAACATCTGCTTTCACGAAATCGTTAAATTTACGTTGGATATGCTAGTGGGCAATGACACTTGAGATTTCACATAGCTAGATAACGACTTTTTTTTGCAATGAGCCATATTCACAATTCGCTTGTTGGTCACAAACACGCGTAAAATGTGGCCACATATTGACTTAATTGTTACTAATGACGGTCTCTTTTCTTTCATCTATCGTTCTCAATCGTTTTGATAGTATATACCAGCAAAACGATTGAGAACGATAGATGAAAGAAAAGAGACCGTCATTAGCAACAATTAAATCAATATGTGGCCACTTTTTACGCTTGTTCGTGACCAACAAGCGAATTGTGAAATCGTTCGTTTGCAATAAACTTTTCTTTCTGTTTCCAATCACTATGATAGCATCAGATACGATGCGCGAAGAGAATATAGATATGATGCTATGAATGTGGTGTTGGATTTCTCTACGTAAAGAACGACAGAACGATTGAGAGAAAGAGTATTGTGATCATCTTACAAACTTTGCAAGCAGATATATTCGTGATAATAGTAAAACGATATTAGTTATTTTTTTACCACAACACTAACATTGATAATGGCTTCAATAAATAAACTGGTAGGACTCTTTGCTTTTACACTCACGAACACGTTCACTTTACCTAATAATCGTTAGTGAACAGAAAGATTTTCTTTTTTATCTACAATAGAAACTGTTTGTCATGTCAATTAATAAGATTAATCATGTTCGGGCCAAATTATTACTTCGAATGTAAAACTATCGAATTTAAAATATGAGATGTTGATAGCAGGCTTGAACCGGGTTATTCAAAATTTAAGATATTGACGATTTAGGTACATAAGAACAACAGAACTTTCCAAGTTCATTTTTTTTTGTACGATTAACTATTTTTTCAAGTAGTAAGTTTGTAGGATTTTAAAAGCATTTGTCTATTTACTATATAAGTGTTGTATTTTTCATTATTTTCACTTCAAATAGGACCAAAAGTATCGAAAATGTCTGTGTGATGATGAAAGGAAGCTTATCTTTTCCCATTGACATGCTACTAAACTTTCAGAAAACATCGAAACTTACTACTTGAAGAAATAGTTCATCGTACAAAAAAAGTGAATTTGGAAAGTTCTGTTGTTCTTATATACAGTAAAATCTTTCTAATGTGGATAATATCGGAACCGGTCAAACGTGCTCACTTTACAGAGATACTCATTCTTGGAAGACTTTCAATTTCTTTTTTTGCAACCTATACGTATTTAGTCGCAATCAACTTTCGGCTGTACAAAGTGATTTTTTCTGTCTTTCCAACAATTAGTTAATGTCATTTTTTTAATCAGAGATAAATCAACATGTATTGACATAATTTAATATGATCACTTGTTAGTACAAAAACTACGAGATCTTACACGAAGTACTGTTGCTATTGTCTAATTTTTTTTTTCTTTTACATATGCACGGTTAGTCGAACTCTTTCTTATAGGTATCCTATGATTGTTTATCATAACGTAATACAAATAAAATTATTATTGTTTTCTTGTAATGCGCATGAGTGATAGAACATATGTTTGTGACATTACAGAGTTTATTATTGCTTGTGAGAACAAAATCAAGTGTCCACTGCTCAGCATAAGGTAGTGCTCGTATTAAAGAGACTCGTTTCTAGCAAATTTCGCTTACTTGGCCAATAATAGATCGTCCAGTATAATGAGATGCTCACATCGAGAGGCTTTATTGTACCTAAATTGTCAATACTTTAAAATTTGAATAACGCGGTTCAGGCTCGCTGTGACTAGCTCATGTTTTAAATTTAGTAGTGTTGTGTTGAAAGTAATAATTTGACACGAGCCCGGTGAATCTTATTAACTGACATCACAAACAGTTCTATTATTAGTGGGATTTAGGTACATTTTTCTTTTCAATGGTTTATCGTCATTCTTTATAAGAGAACTCTTCTATATACTTAAAAAAGAAAAAATAAACCTATGAAGATGCATCTGAAAAAATGTATGTCTTCAAGTTGCATAGATCATAATACATCTATATAAAGACATCATTCAAACCAAGAGAAAAGTTCGCTAATAAAAAATAAATGTCCGTTTTTCCAGCATATATATATATATATGGAATGGATTTCCAGATTTGATTTAAATTTATTCAAATCTCAGTTAAATTCATATCAATGAATCAGTTCATATGAAACGAAAAATCCGCTGGAAGAAAGAAATATCCACTGCTGAGGAATTCATATTTTGCTTTTTCTATAACTACTCATATCTGTGATATTTCATAGAATATGTAAAATCCCACATATTCTTAGCAGACTTTTAGTAAACTGGACATTTTCTCTTGGATCTCTGGCATTGTTGCACTCAACATATACATTAAAAGTGCTGTTTTTCATCAGAAAATCTTTCAAAATTCAAAAAAAGAAAACAAACTAGGCTCTTAATTCATTCAAAAATGTCAGATGAGTAGCTTAATCAATTTTTAAAATAAATTTCAACTGAGAAAGAATCATAAGCGAACTTTACTTTTCATAGACGATCATCGATCTCTTTTTTTCTCGTACATAGGCTCGATCGCAACCACCGCTCATAGTGTGTATTTTTGTCGTACTTGTACTTTACCTACTACAAGGTTTAATATTAGGCTTAAGTCATTCTGTATCGATCTATTTGGCTTCTTTCGGTGCCACATGGAAGCAACAAGGTACATTATCTTTTGCCACGTATCCATTCGTTTTGAAACTGTTGTGGGCTCCTTTAATTGATGCCTTTTACATTCCTCAGTTGGGTCGACGGCAAACCTGGTTACTACCCATTGAAATTTTGATCGGTTCAATGTTGATTATTCTGTCGTTTCATATTGATACATTGCTCATTCAACTGCGTATTATCAAACTAACCATCATCTTCTTTTGTATCATCTTCCTCACAGCTACACACGACGTTTGCGTCGATGGATGGGCATTGACTTTGTTTGCTGGTCCCAATGTTATCTGGCAGTCAATATTACAGATGATAGGACAACCGTTAGGTGGTTTTCTTAGCTCGTCAATTCTTCTTACATTCGAATCGGCTAATATGACCAATCAATTGCTTCGCCAACCATTCGGCATTGCTACTCAGTCATATGGACTCTTTACTCTGCCTCATTTCGTACGATTTTGGGGTATCGCTTGTCTACTTTTGGCTTTCACTATTTTGATATTCTTTCGAGAACAACAAAGTCCCAATGCAAATGAACATGAGCAAAGTGAAGATCGCTTGAGTTTGCTTGACATATATTTATCCATTGTCAGACTATTCAAGAAGAAATGCTTTCGTCAATTTGCCTTTATTCTTATCACTTGTCATTTAGGCCATATAGCCACCACATCTATGACTCATCTCACATTAATCAGGTTAGTGAAGAATATTGGTTTTTTTAATGTATGCTAGAATCGGGATTTCACTTCACAATAAGTGCGAAATTTTTCATCTATTTTTACTGAGAAATCATTTGACATAGTATTAATCACTTAGTTCACATGATCTTTTTGCATGTGTTTCACACTTCTGCAAAAATAAGTAAACAATCGAATAAATATGCCTATATGCTTTTCTTCATTTTTCTTTTTAAGCCGCGGTTTGCTTACACGAAGTACACTTGGTCTGGTTATGATGCCGCTTATAATCGTGAAAATCAGCGTACCTCTTCTTCTCACGCAAACGTCTCGACCATTGATTTTCTTCGCTCAATCTTATGTTCCTCGACTCGTTTTATGTGGATTCATCGCCATATTTATTTTCTTTGCCTATCGTCTATATTCGTATCCGATCGTCTTCTATTGTCTTCTCTTTCTTCTTCTTGGCCTTGATGATGCTTTTGCCTTTGCGCAAGGATCAGCTCGTGGTGCGTTTTGTGCTCAGATCAGTGATGAACGTATTGGTGGCACATATTACACACTACTCGTATCTCTTAGTAATGCTGGCTATGCTGTGCCCTCCAGTATCGTGCTCTATACTGCCAATTGGTTTCCCAAAGAAGAGGTCTATTTCATTGAGGTAGGTATTTGTCTTATGTTGGGCTTGGTTTTGTTTACTATTACATGGCGGACCATGCACCAACTACAAGCATTACCTGTTGATGATTGGCATTTGACGACTTATGATAGAAAACTTGATGGAAAGCATCATCATCATAAGATAACGACAACTGACAGTAATAAACAAGAATTGCCCACTATCACCGCCAACATAGAATGTTTCAGTCGGCCATAAATTGATGCATTGACGATTTTCTTGATTTTTCAATATTAAACTCAAAACATCTACATTCAATAGAATATTATCTTCTTTCGCTGTCTATATCCTCATGTGACACCCTTTGAACTTATTCATTAATGGAAATATGAAGTTCATTTTTATTTCTTTGTTGATTGAATATCGTAGATGAAAGTGATGTTCATCTTTTTTATGTGAAACGAAATTCAAAAAAATATAACTGTAATAAGAAAGCTTCTCAGCACAGCCTCCGATCAAGCTAAAATGCACAACTCACTTTCAATCATCATTAGGAACACAGTGTAGATTGTAAAAGGGCAAAAATCTCTTGCTAGAACGAAAATACGTCGAATTGAATTTGTCGCACTCTATTTGTTCGTTTCAAATATTTTCTAAATTCTTTGATCGTCTCTATATGCTCTTCATTCGTCTCCCATTGTTACTATGATGTTATCGATCATTTCTGTTTCCAATTCGTTTTTCTTTTAATCATCATCTCTTTGATTTCGATTCAATGTTCACATTCATTCCGCTACGGCTCATTGTTGAAAAAAGCAACCATATGTTTGCAGCATTTTTTGAACTGAATCATACCTGTGCTCGAGCATTGTCGCTCAATGATATTTACTGTCAGTATTTCTTGTCATACCATCTTAGACATAGTGAAATGCTACCCATCACTCATGTGTCTGTCTATTACAACATTTACAGAACTCATGTGCAGCTTTGATCATTAAAACTGTTGATGTTCTGGAAAGCACTCTATGCTCTAGAAGTGGCTTTACGTTAGCCTTTTCATGTTTCTTCAAATGGGTATAAAAGTCCTGCATTAAAATTTTTTCTCACTGTTCCTCACTCACGACGGAAGGTCCCCAAGTGAAGCTCCGCTTTTGACGTGATATTTTACCCATATGTAGGTCTTAGTGAGACTAGAAAAATCCCAAAAAGGGTTTGGGTTTCTATGGCTTCCTTGTTGAGATATAAAGTTCACATGCTCTCTAGCAGTGCTATTATTTATATTGGAATACGATGAAATGAGGATTTTTTCACAACGATATGAAATACAGACTTACAGTTTTTTGTGTGAACTACATTTCACACTGGCCATATGTAACATACTTTTTTAATTCTGACAAAGACTCATAACTACACATATCAAACTTCCTTGCCTGACACTAGGTTGGATGAAAGAGAACTTTCAAAATGAATCCTAGTTTTTTAGACGAGTCGTATATGAACATGCGCTTAATTTAATAAGCGACAGTATTGACTTTATTTTCTTATGCTGTCTGCAAAGAACTACTAATTAGAAGTAGGAAAAGCAAGAAAACAGAATTCTGTTCTTTTGCTATACCGTTGTTTTGTTCTTCATTCACGTTTGTACGTGCACATTGATACAGGCATGTCAGCTACATGCCTTCATATCGCGTTGTCCATTTGTGTCTGGTTTCTCTCTTTACATCTTTCTCCCGTTTTCTGTTCTTTTTTTATTTTTTGATATTCATGAGCGTACTGGCAAAATGAGCAAGAGTATCGAACAAAATTTGTTCCAGAGAAAAAATGTGGTAGTGACTTGTAGCAGCTCTGGAAAACTGACAAGTTCACTCGTTGAATACTGGCGCGATCGTTGTCTAATTCCTTGTATCAGAGCCAAAACTCTCTTTTTGTCCGATTCATGGTCTACTAAGAATGCTCCTCGTTTATACCAATCTGTCAAAGGTCTCACACATCTCATTATTCTAGCAAAGACGACTGATAAGATTCAGCCGTTAGATGTCTTTTATAATCGACAACATAAGATGATCTTATGCAAAGTGTTCGATCGCGTCATTCTTGACGAAATGGACATCAACCTATCGGACAGAAACAATATTATTCAAAAATGTCCTCAAAACTTTTTGTTCCTATGATTCGTTATGCTTGGTAGGCGAGCGACTATTTAATGGATGATCCTGGTTACTTTTCTACAGTCAAAGATATTTGCTTCAGTCTGGAAAAGTCAGTCTGTGAAGAGAAAAATTGCGACAACTCTTCTTTTATCAAGTGTAGTTGGTGTCGCAAAGAGTTATGTTTTGAACATTTTTGCCTTGCCTATCATATGGACCAATTCATCATATTGTGAAAGTTCAGTTGTTTCGGTTGCATTGCTTAAGTTCACTTTTGTTCATGATACATAAGAATTTCAGCATATACTCAATAAGACTGTTTTGCACCTGTAGGAACTTTTGAAAAATATAGAGTTGACTTTCGAAATCTTTGCTAGAGCCTCAAGGTATGTCATATATGGCCACTATGAAATGCGGTTCACGCAAAAAAAAACTGTAAGTCTGTATTTCATATCCTTGTGAAAAAATCCTCATTTCATCGTATTCCAATATAAATAATAGCACTGCTAGAGAGGATGTAAACTTTATATCTCAACAAGAAAGCCATAGAAACCCAAACCCTTTTGGGGTTTTTCTAGTCTCACTAAGATCTACATATGGGCAAAATATCACGTCAAAAGCGGAGCTTCACTTGGGGGCCTTCCCTCGTTAGTCAAAACATGACGACGATATTTTTTTTTCCTCGTTCAAATTTATTTTTGAATCATTTGTACATGATTTTATGATGACATACTTTCGTGTCCCATATGCATTTCTGAACTGTTAATATAGCTCGCTTTTTTTCCGGACCTATTTACAATTTGTACTGTTCATTCAATGAATAAAATATCAAATGTATATATGCATCTTTTTTGAATGCATGTTGAAAGTTTTCAATATTTGAATAAAATTTTTTTTTATTTATATAAGACAAAATAAATCTACCAATTAACTTAAGTTTATGATTTAGAATTGTATGATGATTTTTTTTTTCTTTTGTGTTCATTTGTTACGAATTAATAGGACGTCGCATATTAAGAGCAATTGGAACTATTCGATGATGTCTTTTTATAAAAATACTTTTAATGATCGAACGAACTTCACTTGATAATAAAAAGTAAATATAAAATGCAAAAGCTGAATTAAAGAAAAATGTTATTCGACTTATTTGATAAAATAAATTTTCTTGTGCTTTTCTATAAACATTTTTTTCTATGGAATTTGTTAATAATATATATATAAATCGAGTTCCATGTGGAATTGAAGAAATAACAAATATACTAGTTTCAATAATAATCATCTATAATAATTAAAATCATTATATTATATTCTAATTAAATAAAACTTACAAATGCTAATTGTTTCATTTTAACATTATGTATTCTATTAACAAATCGAATATTTCTATATGTTAACGTAGAAAATATAATTATAATAATTATTGGCATGAAAAAATATAGTACAGGATTAACAAAAAATGAAAAATAATTAGTAAATTCTTTATTTAATGTATTACATGTAACTTGATTAGAATTTACATGAATAGAATCAAAAACTACTAACATTGGAATACCAATTAAAAACCATAATGAACAATTGATAAATAAAAGACGATCAGCTATTTTTACTGAACTTAAATTTCGTAAAAAAATTGATTGTGATGTACATAAATATCGATCAATAATAGCTAAACAACGACAACCCATTGGACAAAAAGATACAACAAATGCTCTAATTAAAATAAATAAATAAATAAATATTCTTATCAATCTATTAAAAACTTACATATATGTTCGTATTCGACATCCAATAGAACTTACTGTAAATGGATCAAATTGAAATCCATCAGCCATTAGACGAGTTGTTACTGAAAATGATATATTAAAAAAATCAAATACACTTGCAATAAAAACATAATGAAAACATGGACTTCGTTGAAGACGTTTTCGAGAGAATATATATATATTAGCACATGAACCAATAATACCACTGATTAATAATATCAAATATCCACCAATACTAATTTGTTCGGTAATCCAAACAAGCATTTCAATTGATGCCATTACTGAAAAAAAAATGAAGGAAATGTATAAAATAGCTGAAATAGAAGAAAATATACTAATCGTCTTATTCTATTCAATAAAATCTAAGTTAATCGTTAGGGATTTCCGTAAACGGTCATTTTTTATGCCGTATTGTATCGTTATAACATACCTAGTACTATTGACCGTATTACTGATCTTGTATTTACGAGAAAATATGATCCTGCTAATATATCGTATACAAATCGAATTTCGTTGATCAGGAAAGATATGCAAAATTAAGAATACTACTCGGATACCTGTATGTTACTAAAAACAGTTTGATACTAATAAAGAGTTTGTACGATTATACTATTGCAAACCTTATTAACATGATTGTTAAATAAGAGTTTACAGTTTTATTTTAGGAAGTCTTCGAGAAAGAAAAGAAAAAAGGATGTGATTCACTAGTTTTAGATTATTAAAAACCTTTGTAATAACTCTTCGAAATATTTTTTTATCAAAACAAATCTTCTCGTTACTATAAAAGAACGTAAAGGTTTATAAAATATTATTTTTTCCTAGATGAACAATTTCAGCAGTCGGATTCGTGAATTTCTCGGCGATTTCCCCTAGAAAGACTCTATTTCTGGCCGAAAAATTCAGAAAAATGGTAGACACCAGGAAGCATGAATCCAGTAACTGAACTTTTCTAGTTTTGGCTATGGCCGATCACTGGATTCCTACTTCCAAGTTCTTACAAATTTCCCAAGTTTTTCGACTTGAAATGGTCTGTACGCCTTGACCTGAGAATTTCTATGATTTGAAGAGATATACAGAAAATCTAGATTCTACTAAACTACGATACGAATTATCCACGTTTCCACTTCGTTATCTCTTTTGTATCACAGGCAGAAATCTACATCAAGTGGAAAAAGAAAAAAAACAATTTCATAGATGAAGTATAAAATAGCATAAATGAAATTTTCTTTTAATTTTTACACATCAAATTAAATAGTTTCTTTGGAAGAGTTGAACTACATATTTTCTATTTAGTAGAAGAAGCAAAATGTTCTTGATCTTATGTCTTCTCTATATGTGCGACACAATATTCATAGTAATGTTAAACAAAAGAAATCAGTTTTTATCCGAATTGATCATCAGAACTCTTGAAAATTCCAGAAAAGTCTATAAAAAATTTGTTTGAACTAAACAACGAGTAAAGAATTTCAAAAAAAAAAATCTTTTAACACTTCATCTTTATCGACGAATGCTTCTAAATCCATCTTATTACAAAAGAATATTTGAAATGAGATTGTCAACAATAAAGCGTTTTTCTTGAAAACTCCTTATAACTTTTATTGACTTAAAAATATTTTACTTAATCTTTTTGTTTTTTCGATATATTGCTATCATCTACTTAATTCTCATAATGCATTATGAAAAATCAAAAAATAAATCAATATGTATCATAATGAAACAAAAAATAAAGTTATTTAAAAGACATTAGTCTCTTAATGATTTGATATCTTGTGTTAAGTAAAGGTATATCGACGATTTTTATTACAGACGTGTTCTATAAGAAATAAGTCAAATGATTATATGGATGAGTAATTGAAGGGAATGTGTATGTTTAGAATATATTTTCTGTTTATAATTATGGTATGAATACTAATTCTTTGTTATTTTTATATTCTAAAAAAAGATTTACACTCATCCGCTCTACTTTTTTAATAGTCATAAGTATTAGACATCATCCTACTCTTAAGATAATAGGTTTTTTCTCATTAATAAAGATTTTACACATTCATGTTATTTTTTTTTTTAAGAAGCTCGCAATTTCATTTAATTTATAAATAACTTTCAGAGCAGGTGAAGAGTTTTAGCTATTATTTTTTTTTAATTTCTTTATGAAAAAAGAAATTCAACGAACTAAAGAAGACAGCGTATATGACTTAGACAAAGTACACATGAAGTATTGTTGCTGTGTGCATATACTGAAAGATTAAAAGAGAAATAAGTCACAAATTATCGATTGTTCACAAGTTTTGGACTCTACATTTTCTAGCATCTACTATAATGATTGTTTGATAATAAAAACTAGTACTACCCTTCAGTCATTCATAACTATGAAAAAAAGATGTGCAACCAAATGAAAATACTACATGTATATCTATGAAACACTTTTACACGGTTGGAAAAAATATTATTCCAGGGGGGTAACACTATGATTTCAAATAGAAGACATAATAAATTTTATATCAAATGAAAGCTCGTTAAAAATGGGGGTTTATTGGTATTAAATAGTGAGGGTTATGAAAACCTTTTAATGTCGAGCTTAATAAATTTTCAGAAATTTTATACTTTTTTTGGGATGGAAAATTAAAGTACTAGTGATTCAAGAATCGAGTAAAATGTTTTTCTTGAATATTTTTACACGGTTCGATAGAGCTCGTCGAGCTCTATAAAACTGTATACATTAACAAAATTTTTAAGACACTTTTTTTGGGATAAAAAATTCAAAAAACTATTTGGAAAATCTTAGAAAATATGAAAAAAATTCATATTTTTCATGTGGAAGAACAACACTTACTTTTTCAATAAAAGTAGCTTTTTTAATTGTTTTTACTCCGTCAGGCGTTTCGAAACATACTCATTAGACGCAGCTTTTCACACTGCATCGAACGAGTATATTTCGAGACGTCTGAGGTAGTAAAAACAACGAAAAAAGCTACTTTTATTGAAAAATTGAGCGTGTTTCTTCAATTTGAAAAAAAAAAGAGTTTTTAAATGTTTTTGAGGTTTCCCGAGTAGTTTTTTGAACTTTTTATCTCAAAAAGATGCCTCAAAAATTTTTTAACATGCACAGTTTTGTAGAGCTCAACGAGGTCTATCAAACCATGTAAAAATATTCAAGAAAAAAATTGACTTCATTTTTGAATCAGTGGCACCATGATTTTCCACCCGAAAAAAAATATAAAATTTCTGAAAACTTCTTAAGTTTGACATTAGAAAGTTTTTACAAGCCTCACTATTTAGGGTGTATAAACCCCATTTTTGACGAGCTTTCATTTGATATAAACTTCATTATGTCTTCTATTTGAAATTATAGCGTTACTCCCCTGAAATAATATTTTTTCCAACCGTGTATATGTAGACACATCTTGACTACTTTATATTCATCTGTGCATGCATGATATAGTCGCATGCGAGAACATAAGAATGCTTTTGTAAAGAACACTTGCACCTGCATGCAAGAAAAGATTGGAATGGTCAGGCAAAGAAGCATATATATACACCAGACATATCATCTAGCTACATTAAAAATGCAATCAAAACTGAAAACATAGAATGCTCGTTTGTTAATTATGAAACATATATGTACATAAATGCAAATACTTTTCGTATATTATAATATATACAATGACTAAACAAGTTTTTCTAAATGAAGGCTTGACTTTGAAAATTTCAAATAATGTAGACATACTATAATTACAACTATTATAGTTCGGGATTTTAAATATAATGATTCTTTTGTAGATATCGATTACCTTTCATAATTCGCGCAAAATTTCTTTTCCTATGGGAATCCTTTTCGCGGAAAAAATTTTGTTGTTGTTGCTTTTCTTATAATTATTTTTCATTGTTTTGTAACGATAGCTTAGTGTGCTGCTATTGTTATCATATATCACAAAATTAATTACCGAAAAAATCTATCAAATAAGTATTCAAAATAGTAAATCTTCGAAATAGGTCATATCCGCGAATTTTAGGCAATAATGAAAAATCGACTAATTAACTTGTAATCTATTCTAGGCTGAACCAACTAACAGATGACGGGTCAGGCTAGTTGATATCAAACAGATCAAATCATTAACATCTCTGTTATACACTAAATCAGCATCAGTATCATATCGATGTATCAGTTCAGTAACCATTACAAATAACAAAAGAGTATATGAATATTATTTTGTTTGAGATTCTTTTATTATTTAAATAAGATGTCATATCACTGAAAATAAAGTATTGATGACTATTCATATAGTCAAATACTATCGGGAAGCAGACGTCATAAAACAGATGAATACATTCTCAATTCTACCTTATATAAGAATCGTGTTAAACTAGAAATTTCAGAATGTATCCACACATTTATTCAACAATTTATTCTCTTAGATGATCATACTAGCACGATGTAATCGTCGAATGAAAAATACGTGAGAAATTCACAAGGAAATCTCGTCAGGTGATAAATATCTTTTTAATTGAATCTTACCTCATTAGATAGAGTCTATTGAGACTAGAAAAAAAGTTTAAAATGATCCGTTTTCATAGATCTTTCTTCTTGAATTATGGTCATTCTACTCAGTTTTTCAATAAAATTTGCACAAATAAAGTTTTCAATGAGATCAGTTTACTGCGAATGTTTCAGATTTTCTAGTATCTCCTATCATGAGATATGATTCTTGAAAACTCTGTTATGGAAAAAAAAAACTTTTATTCTTATTTTCATATCTCAGGATAAAAGATATCAGAAAATCTGAAATGTTCACAGTGCATTAGCCCCATTGAGAATTCTATTTGTGCAAATTTTGTTGAAAAACTCATTAAAATGATCATAACTCAAGAAAAAAGACTCATCGACATGAATCATTTTAGGCTTTTCCTGAGTCTCAGTAGAGCCTATCTAATGAGGCAAGACTCATCTGTAAAGCTTGTCAAGAAAAATCTGCTAAAACAACCATTTTTTCTCATACAAAGCTAGAAATTAGTGAAGGAATAATATGTTACACCTATGCATATGAAAGCATCAGCAACATAGATTTGTGAAAGATATAGCCTGTTGAATCCACAACTTTCGGACCTGAACCTGGTCGAACCGTATTTTAATACTCTCAATGTAATTTTCTAATTGGAATTGGATAGTCATCCCAAAGATACGAGAGACTTTTTCAGTTTTTTTTGTATTCGGTGGCAAGCACACTCTATACATATCTCAGATCACTAGAGCCTGTTGAGTTCAAAACTTTCAGATTAACTCGATGGGCTCTAGTGAAGGATAAGGATGAGGATGACGAAGAGAGTATCTTCACTCTTAGTCAGATAAAGTAAATTATGATAAAGAAATATTCTGTTTTTGTTAAATATCTTTAGAAATCTAAATGAAATGATTAAATGAACAAGCCAAATCCAATTTGAATATTGACAAATGTTTTTTTTTCTTTCGACGAAAAAAAAAATGAAAATCTCTGAAATCTAATATAATTCTTCGTCAATAAAAGATTAATTAAGATTACCATTAGAAATAATTGTTTTTTTTTTTCGTTTTGTCATGTCAATGTTATCAAGGCATATATAGAATGATTGCTTTTAAAAGCAAACTGAATATTTTGTTTTTCATTCTTAAATCAATTGGTATTATTTTCGAAGAAAATAATATGAAAAAAAAACAATCTTCGATTATATTGTTACCATGCAAATAACTGAAAGACAATGGTAAAAACAAAATTGTATGAATTATTCACTTTGGTATAAAACAGGTTTTTTGTTTTATATTATGACTAATTAGACTGTTTTAAAAAACAAGTTGTTTTTTTTTTTTTCAATAAATACTTAGATGATCAAACTTGAAAACACTATATGAGTCAAATAATCAATAAAAGAGTCGTATCTATATTAATGTATGCTAGTTATTTGTATCATATTTCAACTGATATATTCGCCGAAAAGTATTCTATTGTGTCTGTTCTTTTTAAATTAAAATCGATTATCGATAGCTGCTGGTTTGGTCAAAATTACTCATTTATTTTTTTGTTTTGTTTTATTAAAACATATAATATTCAGTTGGTGTCTTTTTTTCCAATATCAGTTTTAAAAAGTGTGTTTTATTTAGATTCTTAATTTTCATGATGACTATAACAGATAATATGCAAAAGAAATTGACTTCAAAATTTGTGCGTGTATATTAATAGTTTTACATAGCGAAATGAAAAGATCTGTCCATTGACAGAAAGAGAAAGGTAACTATAAGGTTATGATACCAGAATGAGATATTTGTAGAGAAATCTATACTAGAGATTTGCGGACAACTCCGAAACTCGATTCCAATTCCAATAGAGTCGGAGTCGGGTTTACGAGAAAAAAGTGAAAGACAGCACTAACTATATATATATTAAGAATGAATTTCCGCACAAAAAAAAATAGGCCACCTTTTAGCTATTACATTCGAAAGATCAACTTCACAAAAGTCTAATATCATAAATCAAAAAATATTTCAGTATCATTCAAAGTACAGTAATTTTCATTGTCATCAATTATCGATTGCTTGATAAAGTCTTGCACGAAGCTGATTTCTGAGTCGATTAAATTTTGCTTTAGCATAGGAAATTTTTTGAATTGTAAGTTTTATTCTCTTAATATTTACTGTATAAATTGATACGTTCTAACGACATGTTATCAAAACCTATGAATATAAAAGAAAGTCAGAATCGAATGAAATTGAAGTTGAATTTGACTCCGACTGTCTTTCATATCCATAGGTTTTGATAACACGTCGTTGAAACGGATCAGTTTATACAGTAAATATCAGAGAACAAAATCTACAATTCAAAAAATTTCCTATGCGGAAAGCCTAATTCCACAGGTCTTTAATCTACACATATTCCGTTTTGGAACCATAATCTTATAATCGTTTTTGATGTAGATCAATAACAGAGAAATGTGATAGTATCGATTCGATTAATAAATCATGTAAACGTTATTCGTAAGTTGAATTAAAGTTTCAGCTACAATATTGATGTAGTTTCATCTTGTTTGGATTGATAACAATTTTAGAATGTATGAAACTAATATCGAAAAATGAAGAGTCATCATTGCACATCTTTTCTTTTTTAATCCCTATGAAATAAGATAATTCAAACAATGTACTTTAACAAAAAAAATAATCCAACTTTAATTTAATATATAATTCCGCGAATTTTATGGCATAATAAACGTTTTGTCGAGTTGACATTTTTCTTTATCATATAGGATATTTTTTTTTTAGTTCTTAATGTATATCAATAGCGTCTAACTTGATTGATAATTGGTTTCACGCAGACAATAATACTATGCAAATATTTTTATTTAATAAATAACTCCGAGACGTAAATATGTTTTTTTGTTGTGTAATTTGAACCTCTTAAATCAATTTTTCGATATATATATATAAGAAAGGTAATGGGTAACTTAGTTAAAACATCATAGAAAATGTTCACAATGCCTTATAACAACGTTATTTTGACACTTCTTGTTATATGTTGGTTATGTTCAATGGGCAATTCTGCTAGTATAGCATCGAAAATACCAATACAATCGCATATTACTGGTGGATATAAAAGTATGTTTACATATTGTTTGTTCATTAATGAGAAGTTATATTATGTCTTATAGATTCTTTAACGAAAAAGAATGATATATCTAAATTGGACTGCAGTCAATTCAACAATGATTATGATGTTCTTCAACAATTTCCTTTTCCAGTTTTACTTAATCCAATCCGACACCTATATAATCAAAGTACAGCTACTATGGATGAAAATAATATTTTCGTTAAAAAGATTTATATCCATGAAGAAGAAGTAGTTCCATTGAGTGTATTTTGTTTATCAAAACTTGACACATTGTCTATTGTCATGACACCTTTTGAAAATGGTAATATTCTTATAGTTAATAGATTAATTTTTATTTTGAATATTTATTTAGATATTGTACCAGATGCTTTACTAAATTTAAAACTACTGAGTAGTTTTTGGATTTATAATTCATCTATTTTAAAAATTCCAGAACAATTAGGAACACTTAATAATCTTGGAACGTTAATTTTCGATAATTGTTCATTAACTCATTTCCCAAACCTTAGTAAACTTGAAAACTTATGGATAATTGAGGTTAGGAACAATCCATTGTCTGTAATTGATGGATTTCCTGATGTGATACTGATGGATCTCAGAAACAATCTTTTCAATGAAATACCTATAGTAAAGAAAAGAGAAGCTCTTGAGGTCATAGCTATGAATAATAATCCGTTAAAAAACATTGAATCAATTACTTCATACATCAATTTGGAACACCTTTATTTAAGTAATACAACACTTAAATTCATTCCTTCTTCTATTGGTAAATTGCAGAAACTTACACATCTTGATTTATCACACAATCAATTATCTCATATTCCGAAAAGTATACTTGATTTGCCTCATCTTGAATACCTCAATATCGAGAATACTTTGTTGTCCACTGAAGATATTCAATCAATTGAAAAGGCATTCAGAACATTTCTTCCAAATGCAACACTAATTATCTAAATCATATTTTAATGATTGTCCCTGTTGAATTGTAAAAATAAAAGAAAATTTTTTTTCTTTTGTTTCTCTTATAAGTTTAAAATAAAAATCTATTAAAACTATTCGTATTATTATTTAATAACATGACTAATAAAATACGATGATAAATATCAATAAGAGAACAATTTTGCTTTGAAAGAATTTTTTATTAGAGATGTACTGATGTTATTTTATGTTCAAGTGATAACATTATTGTTATGATTCTTATGTCCTTTAATTTCTAACATAGAATGGATTTTTCTTTTTCGAATGTTTGACTTAGTATTATTCTCTTGATCGATAGTAATCGGAGACTATTCTGTACGAAATTCGGCGAAAGCAAGCACGAAAAATTTTTCTTAGCTAATCAACGATTAATTTCGTTCTGTTATTCTCTCAATAATGACTCATTCACTCTGTTATGAAAGATCGATAGACAAGTCAAAAGGAAAGAAATATTCATGTCTACCATATATACTAAATACATACGTAAAATGATAGCATTATAATTTTTTATCATTTTCATAAAGTAAAAATTATCTACTTCGTCAATTTTTTCCTAGTTTTATGAGTGTACGATTTTCGATTACAAAATAAAAATTTATTTTAGAGATTTATTTCGATAATCACATCAAGCGTGATTTATAACTTATCACACACTTGTTTATGAAAATAAAAAGAGAACAACTGGTATCCGATGTGATTCTAATATTGACAACGAGCACAACATTGAAAATATAAAAGAAAAAGGATATCATGTCAATAATGATGTTTTATTGTTAACTAACTTCAGTCATATATAACCTTGCTAAAATCAAATGATAAAAAACCAATATTCTTGATCGTGTTTGATTTGCCTCATGTCGATCTATTATCATGTGTTTTTTTCTTTCCATACAATCGATAATGAGCAATTACGAATCAAATATTTAAACATCAGGGATATATATATAAATATCAATTCATTCATTAGACATTTATCACCAAGTTGTTTACAATAGAAGTGTTTGTATTATCCTTGCTGTGTACGAACCGAGATATTCGAATTTTTAAAGTATTTACAGTATATGTAAGCTGCTCACAATTTATAGTTTTAGCAGTTTTCTTTGTTCGTGACGGTAGGATAGAATTCATCAAGTTGCATCCAACTATTACGAAAAAAACTGCTGAAATTTTGAATTGCGAGCCTCTTGTATATACTGTAAATATCTTAGAAATTCGAGTATCTCTATCCGTGCCCATCAAGGGTAGCCTATATTTTAAATTTGTTACTTTGGTAGTGAAAGCTATAATTTGGTCCGAATATGTCTTGTTTTATGAATTAACAATACAAACACATCCATTATTAGATACTTTTTCTAAAATATATTCAACAGAAACATATTTACTATCGTTATTGTTTTGATTTTATTATATTGAACAAAAAACAGCATTGTTTTTAGCATAACAAATATTGATCGATCAAGCAGAATTCTAAAAATTAATTAGCAAGAAAAACAATTGACAATGTTTCCTTTGAATAAACTGATAGAATATTATTTTTGTTCATTTTATTAGCTGCGAATTATAGATTATATTTTTCATTCTAAATTAATATAATTTTGTGATAAGAGTACTACTATGTTGTAATGAGCTATTATCAACTTCTGGCGAATAAAAAATAAGCAATAGTAATGATGATAGTAAAAAAAAATATGGAGATGTAAAGAACCAAGTAAAAAAAGAATAGACTTACAGAGTAAGCCTTTTTTAGGGAGACTGGATTTTTCGATTCGTGACCTCTTTGATCTTAAAATAAAGAACATAATTCTTTTTTTAGTTAGTTACTAGATATTGTAGTGTTGAGTAGGATATTATAATAGATGTGAGTAGGGTAAGTATAGGGATCTACAAAATGACTTTATTCCAGTTTCGGTTCCGATCCTTAAAAATGACTTTGTTTCTAAAATCGAGTGACACTTTTTTACAATCTGTATGTATTTACGAATAGATATAAAATTGACATAAATGATTTTGACATGTTAAAAGCACGAGCATTCATTTATATGCATGTATACGGCACAGCTTTTTTTCCAGTTACAATTTTCTGATTTCGATCATGTGACTCTGAAAATTTTCTCAAAACTGGTAGTTCTTTAAGGCATACAAGGTTAACATGAGTGTCCTTGACTTAGTGTTACTTCGAGAATCAATTTTATATATTTTTATAAAAACTGATCGGGACCAGCTTGAGAAAGGTTTAGTTCCGGCCCCAACTGAATCGAAATCGTGACCACTTTGCAGATCCCTAGGTGAGTGTGCGTGGATGTAGGGTGTGAGTATGGTGTATGTGAGTGGGAGAAGGGGGAGTGTGGATGTCTGGACCTGAGTCTTCTCTTTATTGACACTTACATCCACATCCGTTATGACATCCAGCTCAGTACTACGATATCTAGCAACTAACTAAAATAAAATTAGGTTTTTTTATTTTAAGGGTCAATGAGTTCACGAACCGAAAAATCACCGGACCAGACTGAAAGTTTGGACCGAAAATCATGTAACCCTTTTTTCATACTTGTTTTCTACCCTATAGAATTTTTCTTCATCCGGATCCTACGATACTCTGTAGAGAAGAGCAGGTTTATCCCGCACATTTCTGAATAAGAATAATAAATACTAATATTAAAACGCAAGAAATAATTGCAGTCATTTTCTATTTCCTTTTTGTCAATTTCAACTATCATTATTAGTAGTTTTGAAGGTAGGACTGTCAGGGCGAGCGATACATATGTCTAAATACATAAAAGTACATAGTACAAAGTCTTAAATTATAGATTTCTTGATATAATACATGTAGTTGTAAGAGTGCATCCGAATGGTGACAGTATAAAGTACAAATTTCATAGTCTTGTCATATATATGTATATAAATATTTTACTGTATTCTATGGATAGAGAATGTATGGTAGTATAGTATGATTAGTTTCCATGGCAAATAAACACGATTGAAATGATATATGACTGAAATTGAATGAATAGCTTTGAAGAAGCAAATTTTAAAATTCTAAGTTTATGAGAATAATATTCACTTTAGAGTATTTTGTGTGATCTTATTAGCGCCATCTTGCGTCCTATCCATCTGAAGTTGTGATTATTTAATTGAGTTTTTGTATCCTAGGGATAGCATTTATAAAAGGTCGCTTTATGCAGTTTTGATCTAAAATTTTGCTCATAAATAGATTTCGAAGTCAATAGAATGTCGAAAAGATGTCAGTTAACTAATGTTTTTTTTTATCGATATGTTGAATATTCCAATAATGATTTAATCTGATAGAAAGATACTCAGAATAGATTTTTCTTGAGCATTCAATTAGTATGCAACGAAAGTTTCATTCACAGACAAAATCGTTTATTTCATGTATACTAAGAGTATATGAAAAAGTTATACAAGGATTATATATATATCATTGCTTATAATTATCTTTATGCACAAAATAAATATCTCAAACTTACTATGTTTATAGGTATACTGTATTGTAGTCTTGTATGCATCGAAATAAAAATTTATTCATTTCAATAAGGACAAAACTTTCGGCGTGTATTGAATATATTGAGAAGAAAATATTCGATTAAGCTTAATTATTTTTTAGGATATTCTAGTGACTTCGAGATTTGTCTATGATCCAAAATATCAAATTAACGACTCGTAAGGCAATCTTTTACAAATACCATACTCAAAGAACGAAAACATAATAAAACAATCATAACTGCAGATGAATAAGGCATAAGCATGAAGCTTTTTAACTTCTTTTAATATGATCCAGTCTTGTTCATGAACAAAATAGCAACTCGATAGATGCGTTTCACTTGCAAATGATCCATTGTATTTGAGAAACAAGTAATTTGAATGTTTGCTATTACATTTATGTCTTTTTCTTTATTATTAAGATATTATCTGATAAATTTATGATTGTTCATTTGATAATATAATATTTATTGAAACTTTTGCTATGTAAAATTATATGTTTTTTTAACTCCTTTGCAACGCATTTAATAAATATGATTGCAAGTCTATACAATTCTTCTTTTTTTTTTCTAACTGTCGGATAGTAATTTAATTTTGACTTTTTATTCTACTTCTTCTTTTTGTTTAAAAAAAAGCACATATATTCCTTCATCAACTGGAGAACAACTTGTCTATACCTTGCATATGAATAAATATTGAATTACTTAGTAAGATTAATTGAAAAACTATTTGCATTTTTGTAAGGATTAGCATATGTATGTAGATTTTTCACAATAGTACATTTCATCAATCAAAAGCAAAATTCAATTTGCAATTTTATGTGTTCTATTATTTCTTTACATAGTCATGAACAAAATCAAAATCATACAATCAGTATATGATAACAAATATACCTTGAAGTATTTCTCTATACTGTTGATAAACTCGAAAAATTGAATTTTTATTTATTTAAAAGAGCAGAGTTGGTACTGGTAGATTCTATTTGAGTAAACGATCATGCAAAAAATAATAAAACTCGCTTCATTCTCTAAAAAAAAAATCTAAGATTTATTCAGTTGGTACCATAATTAGCTGATTCATTCTTGTTAAGAGCGTGGGTGTCGGTGTTGATGTTGATCTTCTCTTTCATCTCATCCACACCCTTTTATCAGTGGCTCGTCAGAAACTGCTATGAGGGGTAAATGGTTAAAATGTTAGTTTGTTTCAATTGTTGATAATAATCAAGATTGCTTACTACGTTTTTTTATCGATTTGTTCTTACAGGATTTTTACATCACTTCATTTTTTCAAATTTCTCTTCTCAAATGTTAACTTTTCGAAAACATATATACAGTATAAATCTCGATATATTGATTTTATTCTGTTTAATAAAAAAAAAAAAGATAAAGTCTCTAGTTGACTACTAACACGCAGAAATTCTGCTTGATATTACATTCATGTCTTTCAAACTACATGTTATAATTTTCATGATATTGGAGCTGAACAGAATTTAAAATTACGTCTTAATCTATTCATATATGCTCTATTCTTATATTCATCTAGAGAGTAAATAAAAATTTCATGTTATACTATAAGTATTTTTAAGAAATGATTAAAGAAATCTAATTGTATTATTTACGTCACAATAGCCTATTTATGATCAATGTTTTTTTGAATTAGTATAGAACATTTGTCTAATATACGCTTGTTCGATTGATTATAGATGTCAAATCACGATAAATAAATATGAGAAAAGAAACAATGTTAATATTTGTAAAAAAAACAAAAGAAAATTCAGAATCATGATTGAGATTTGTAAAGGTTTCAATAAACTATATTGAAATTGTAATGCGTAAAATAGATTTTTGTTTTCGTATGGCGAAAACACAATTTATTCTATCATTTTTATTCGTTGAGTTACCATTCAAATAAATCCTACTTTCTATGATGGCAACAAAGCAATTTAGTGTTTGGGACATGCCAATTAATGTTGAGCAAAAGAAATTTAAATCTGACGATGATGATAATAATGATGATGATAAAGATGAACAAAGACGAAACAGATCCAAGCGACGCTCAGCAGCCTTTTACAAGTAGTTTTTGATGAATTATTTTTTGTTATTCATACTTAAAATGATCAAATATAATTTAAGATGTTGTTGTCCATGTTCAACTCCTGTTATAATTGGCTTTGTGATTGGATCATTGCTTGCCGGTATCGCCCTTGCAACAGTTCTCTCAATGTATTTAGTTGATTCAAGTAAATATTATATTGTTTTTGAATACAAAGACATATAGATCTAGTCCTCTGTCAAGAAGATATACTTCTAAATGATAAAACTTTCATAGTAATACGTATTCGCAGAGACAACAAATGTAAAAAAGAAATCTGATCAACGCTACAGCCAAATTCGTACCATTTCCGATGATCGGACAAATGTGGAGGGTCATCTTTTTTGGTAGAATGTCTTTCCAATTTCAGAATGTTATTTCCATGTTTCTATGATTTTTCGACTGGCTCTTGCAGCAGGAACTAGGTTGAAAAAGACGTTCTTACCAAGACCAATCTTATATTCTTACACAATTTTTTGAAGTACAAAATGAACTAATTACATTTATCAATAAGAAGTAATTTATTCTTTACAGTATCGATCTGTAGCGATATCTATATCTATTGTAATAAATATATACATGAGCATACATAAATAACTATCTTATATGTTTACATACTCAAGAATCTCTCTATATGGATATCTTATCATTCGCGGATCTCCCTCTTACTCAGCCACACAAACCTCATCCATGCATGTAGAGGTGAACCTGAAAGTTGCAAAAAATAGAAACAAAGACTATTAAGGCTGGAGAGAGGACTAGAAATGATGGAATGGCCTCGATATTTTTTTATCGCATGTAAATATTGGATCCGAAGTCTTGTAGCCACAATGGAAATGATCACGTTCCATATTTTTTTAAAGGAATATTACGGAGGGGAAGCAGCAGTTCTTTTCTGAAGACTTTTCAATCAATTCTGGTTGGATATGATAGGAAAGACGGGAAAAGTCGATGAATTTCAACTTGGAATATTGTTACCATGAAGTTTCCTGGAATCGATCATATTCATGATGTACTATTCGATGTGAAGATCTCAAATCTCCTTTTTTTATTGTCCAATTAGTATTTTTAAAAACTTTTCTACCATAAATATCATCGCTTGAGCGTAAAAATGAGAGAATACTTAATTATGTTATTCGGTTACTTCAATTTCTGCAGATGTGCTGCGATTTGAGGGTAATACTCTAAAAAGTAGTTCATCTTGTTTAGCTTTTTTTGTTCTTTTCAAATGAGACATTATCAAAAAAAAAGGATTTATATTTTGACTTGATCGAGACATAGACGAAATACAAGATACAAGATTCCAATTAGTAGATTTCTTGAAGTGGACTATTTAAAAGACTGTAGCTTTGTGAAGAGAACCTATCAAGATGCATAGTGTTCTGAGATATAAACACAGTACATTTCGTAGAATATAATTTTTAAATAGCAAAGTAATTATGTTCATTTTCCCAAGACTATTCAAGTTCGTACGAATTCATACTTTTAGAAAGATATGATAGATTCTATGAGAATTCTACCAAGCTCGAATAATGTAATCATAGATATATATCAGAATGATTACTTTTAGGCAAAACAAAAAGTCTTTCAACTAATGTTACTACAGTGACGACTAGCACTTCGACTACAGGCACAACAACAACAGCTACAACTACTACTACTACATCGGCTACGACTACTACTACTACATCGGTTACGACTACTACTTCTACGTCGACTACTACTACTGCACCTTGTAAGTCATTAATACAAACCTTTTAAAGTACATAAGAAGTATTTTAACTTTTATCTATTACTATTAGATTGTACGACACGTGTCACATTCGATGATATTTCTGGTCAATCAAGCACTTCTGGTATTGTTCCAAATGGATACAAAAATCTCAATTGGACAAATGTCATGTATCTCAATGCATCAACAATGCCAACAAGTGGTTATCAAACTATTACTACTTCTCCACCATTTGTTGGTTATAATCCAGGAGGTGCAACGGTTATGATAACGACAGCTAATGGTACAAAATTTGCTTTTAACTCAGTAGTTGTTTCATCTGCTTGGCGAGATAATCTTACCTGGTCCATATATGGTTTTCGTGCTGGTACTAATGTGGTGGCTGGCAGCTTTTCAATGTCAGTGTTAAATAAAACAATAATCTCATGTGGTGCATGTTCTAATTGGGATACGATTTATTTCATATCTTCAGGCGGGACACCACGTGCAGGACTAGCTGAAAATGGAACAGAATTTGCTTTTGATGATTTGTGTATTTCATTTGGATACTAATCGATATTTTATAATCATTTTGTTTTCATTCAGAACTATACAAATATTTATCGCACTAACATATAGTTGTGAAGATTGATACGAACATTTGTTTTTAGATAAATTTGACTGTAATTAGAGACATCATAATTGACAATAAAGAATTAGATATTTCCTTATAATATGCTATTTAAGAGAAAAGAATGTGAAATAGTTTCTCTATTGATTGTCATATGTAAATGGATAGCATTGAAAGGCTAAGAAAATTCACATTTTCTATAATTGGTGTCATATTTACTTAGTAGGACACAGATGCAGAATCTGCCGTAAAACTGAAAGATTTCTTCAAATGCTAAAATTTTTTTAGAAAATTTCCCCAGCTAGAATAATCTATAAAAAACCAAGGCTCCTTTATGTAGAATATATATTGATAAAGAAAGGGCATCGAAACATAACTATTTAAAACAAATGACGTGTTATAAAAAAATAACTCGTTATATATGGATGAATTCTGATAATCTTGGTACTTGTTTTTTCCTTAAACGATTTATCATAATTGAGCCAGGTAATATAAGTTTCCATACTTGATATTATTCACTTTTTTTTATAAAATAGTCAGCTTTTCTCTTTCTGCTTGCTTAAGTAATCATTCAGTGAATACTTGATAAATGAATCAGTGATATTGAGAGTAATTGATCATCGAATTCGTCAAAAAGGAAAATTGAAGGCGTTGACGAGGGATTCAAATGGATGAGTGGTGGCGATGAAGGTGAAATGATAATAGAAGATTGTTGTTCTTGTTCCTGTTCATTGTCATTGATGATATGTACAATTGTTTTTGTTTCTTGTGTTATTTTAAAGAACTTTTCCATATTACTTTTCGCAAACTTCCGTTTGAACATTTTACCCTGGTGCTGTCTTTGTACAACGATCCTTTGCCTGATACTTACGACCATTCCAATCACAATAAAAGCATGTTACTTGCTGTTTACTTGGAAGCATTTCTGCAGTTCAAATCGTAACAATCTAGTGATCTGAAGTCAAAGAATTCATACTGAGGATGACAGAATAGTATAGGACAGGAAAGAAAGGTAGAAAGAATACAAATAAGCAAGACAATCACTGTGAACAAATAAACAACAAGCAAATCAGAGAGTGTTTAGCAACCTTGTGTGATGACTCTGTATCACCGCTGTGTCATCAACACCAGAACAAAACAATGAATGCAGTAACGCACCAGAATGATAGACAGCGAGACGTGTCTCACACATATACTGACGTGTGCAGAGAAACACAACAGAACATATGGAACTGAGAGGAAAAGAGAAACGGAACATGAAGAAAGAGAAAGGGAATGAAACGAGAGATAGTTAATAGCACAAAGATAGAGAACTCCAGAGCAGAATCATGACACCTTGTGATTTTTTTCGCATGAGAAAAAGTTATTTTTCAAAATGTTGCTAAACTCAAAAATTTTCCAAACGCATGTTTCTGCACATGGGCAGATTCTGGATCTCTGAATTAACCAAGTATCAGTATCACATACTCACAAGAAAAAAGATTAAAAGGAATTAAAGTAATATTTAACTATCTCAAATATAGTTTGATACAGTTATTCACTATATTTTAATATTTTTTTTTCATCAACATTTTAATTAAAAATACTTTTTCTCAACAATCGTCATCGAGTACATAATTCAATAGAACTTTTGAAATTCTGTTAAATAGTAAATGATACTTTCACTATTGAGTAAAACGTTCTAATTATAAAAGGTTGCTTTTGAAAATGGAAACCTAGTGGACATAATGCATGGCTTGCGCATATGTTCATCATACTCTTATCACTAAACTCTCAACTAACTTTAAATGCATAGAACAAAATACTACGGATAAAATAAAATACGTAACTGAAACCAAAAATAACTACTGAATTCTTTAACTTTTGAAGAATAAGATAGAAATATGATATTATGGAAGGCTTACTAGTAAAAATGATCTATTATCGTATTCTATATATTATGAGGCAATATAACAAAGCTATATAATTTTTGAAGAGAATCTTACAATTAAAATTCGTAGACAATGCTTTAATTATTTTTTGGGCGTCATTTATGGTCAGATTACCAGATACGATTAAATAATTTTCTTTTATATGTGACATCTTGTTCTTTATTCGAGTAAAATTCATTACAATAATTCAGTGCCTAAATGATATTCCTCACTTTTATAGTATCAAACGTATATACGCATAAAAACTACCTTAAAATAATCAAAACTTTCAATACTATGGTTACTATTCATAATATATTCTATGATGGCTTCAATTCACGGTAATTTAACTAATATTTCTTTGAAAATAGACAAATATAATGATATACTTTGTCACTAAGGATTGACCTTATGATTTCATGTGCAAATATTATCTAATAGTAGTCTAATTGATTGAAACCTCATTGAGTTTGCCCAGATTTTTACACATAGTCATAATTAACTTTGAATATGCTAATATATGTTTCTGAGTAGTATTCGATTTCGCTTAGAGTAATATGTCATCTGGTAATCTAAGAACTGATACCTGCCTGTCTTCTATGAGTAATGTAGTAAAACTTCAATGTAAATACGAGAGACTTCTCTGTTTTAAGACATATTCATTGCAAAAATCATTATTACACGAGCTATATAGTCATATGGACTTCGAGGAAACATTGTGAGAGCAATATATTTACCAAATCAATCTGCTATTACATCATAGCGAAATCATGGAGATATATGAAATAGTCTTTCTCATCCTCCAGTCTAAGAAGAATTGATAATAGATGATATATTTTTCACACTGCAAAAAAATCTCTACCAGAGTTTAATGAATCTTTCAATAAAAGTTTATGTTAAATAAAATGTTAATCTAATGTTGTTCAATAATGTTTCTAGCATATTCTCAAGAAAAATACAGATATAATGTACTTGAGAACACTTATGTAGATATGACAATACTGATAAGACTTCGAGTAGTACAGTTCATTTAAACTTTGTATAAGACAAGTTATATTGTACTTAATATATAAAAAGAAAATAAACTAAATTAGTCAAGAATTACCAAAGCAATAATTTTAGTTATCTTTGATTAGAATCATATGTAAATTATTCCTAGATAAACGAGTCAAATTTGGACGTGGGTGTTTGGAATGGGTAAGTACGAGGAGAAGATCCTCACTCACATCCAGACATTCACAGTCACATATCAACAAATCTATAAGGTGTGGGTGGTGGGGTGTGAAACATAGAAGTACACCCTTACACCCACACCATCTACTCTTCACACACACACACACGCACATCCACTCTCATTCATTCTATTTGAATATTTATTTATAGCAAAATGAAAGAAATAGAATTCGTTTGATTGTTATCATCAACTTAGTCATTAATAAAAGATTAAAAAAAGTATTTCTACGAAAATAGTCTGATGTATCACATAGAATCATGGATCGAATGAATCTATAACAAATCGTGATTGATATCGATTATTATGAGAATTTTTGAAATCTTCATGCAATTGATTAAGAATATTGTCTAGAATCGATCCAAAATATCTATTTTTATGAAAGACATGGAGATAAAAAGTGAATTGACGAAGTGATAGTAAATACAAAGAGATTTTAGATGCAAGCCAATCATAGTTAGCAAAAGGTTGTATATTCAACGATAACTCGTCGAATCGATGAATAGTAAGTTGTTCAAGATTGGGTAAACATGCAAAAAAAATACCAATAATATGTTCATTTCTTGACCACATTTTAAACGGGAATGTTATAATTAATCTTTTAAGATTTATATATGATTGACCATTTGAGAATGTATTGGTTGAAAAAGATGTCTCGAAATCAAGAAAAGATAAATTTGGACATGCCAATAAAATTGCTTGATAAATGAATGAATCAATAAATCCAACCTTTAAAATACGAATTGATGGTGATTGTGTCCATCCTTCGATTGTGTATATTGGTTCTACACCAACTAGATGGCAAGATCTTAAATTATGAAAATGATTAGAAAAAATTTTTCTAATCAAACCAGGCATGTAATATGTTAGAGCTTCGCAGCTTATTAATAGATATTCCAAATGAGGTACAATAGAAGTATCAAACTGTGCAATGAGTTCAACAGTTGGATTCACCAAATTCAGATGACGTACTTCTATAAAATAAGTGAGATTTACATTCATCGATTGGTGAATTGTTAGTGTATAAATGTAGGGAGCAACAACTTGAAGATAATGTCGTTCATTTCGTTCCTTTGAAGAAATAGTGAGTGAAAGATAATTGATAGTTTTTAGTAATGTATTGAAACGATGATTAATATTGTAAAAAGCATTGTATAGATCATAAGCATCAAAATACTTAAATATCTCAATAATTAATTCATTTGGTAAATGTTCGAATATGAATAGATATTTTTTCATATTTGATAGAAATTAATCTATAAGTAAAGAATTCATATTGATAATAGTTTCAATTTATTGTTGAAATTAAAATAATTTTTTTCTATCGACAAAGATGATTCAATTAAGAAATTAAAGTGATAATTTAATTTAAGAAACAAAACTATGTGATAAATCATTTAATAATATATATTCAATTAATTTGTATAAAAGTTCATTTTATAAATGATCAAGTTTAAATAGAATGTTATTATTCATGTAGAATATTTAAAAAAAGCATATTGTTTTTTTTTATTACAAATAATTTTGTTTTATAATTGAAAAAGACAGATAAAAAAGCATAATTTGAAATATTTTGTCTGATTATGACAGTGAAGTCGAATATGACTCATTACAATTTAGAAAAATTCGTCTATTAGTAAAGAGAAAAGAACCATTGAAAAATATCTCAAAATTCCTTCGATATTCTTTTCTTATTAAAAATGAGCAAAATAGTAAATAATAAAAAGAAATAAAATTCAAATAAATTATTTATTAAAAGATGTCACTATATATTAAGTTCTTTCGAGATCGAGATATTGTC